GAGGGAGGAGGGAGAGGGAGGAGGGAGAGAGGGGGGAAGGGAGGGAGGGAGAGAGAGAGAGAGAAAGAAAGAAAGAAAGAAAGAAAGAAAGAAAACATTTCAAGCTGAGCAATTCCTTGGATCTTGGACTTCAAACCACAATATTTCTACCTTCCAAGAAAGTTCCTCTGAGTCCTGAAAACAGAACCTGGGACAGCTTCACCACACAGGACACCACCCCCCACCAAAATTACTCTCACTGAATTTTTGTTTGGGGACCTTCTATTCTCTATTTGTAGAATTGTAGAAAACTGAACCAAGAAAACACAAATGATTCCCTCTCCCTCTCCTCGAAGTGTGTCTCTTCCACGGTCCTGCAGATCTCCTCCTCCATTCCTTTACTGTCCACAATTTCTCCATGTGATCGACTAAGAACCCCTTAATTGTCTTCTCTGTTTTTTCACTCTGAGAGGTTTTTGCCCTTCCAATGAACAGATGTATGTAGGTGTTAACCATCATCCTTTTGGTAGCTAGCAAATGTTCGCCCAGGTGAGAAACAGAAATTCTGAAGATAAGGGCTCAGCAGGAAACTGTGTGTTGGAGTTTCCTCTGCCAAAGATGAGCTGGCATTGGAAGATATTATTCCTGCTTGTGTGTACAGAGTCTAGTTTTGTTCCCTTTCCTGTACCCACTTTTTCTTTCAAAGTCTGGAGAGAGAGGGAGCTACAAGGGATATTAGATTGGGAGCATCTCATCTTGTGGATGTCTCTGTTTAAGGAAAATTCTGATCCTCACAGGGGTGGGAAGCCTTTGTTTCTCCCAATGATCATCTGGATATTTGTAATATCATTCAGCAGCCACATGAAATTATCAACATAGCAAACTGGCTGAGGGGAGCCAAAAAGAAGCATACATATCTGTCCCATAGGTACCAAATTATTTATAGGCCTTAGATAGCCACCTGCTGGACATTTCCCACCCATTCAGGGTTGACCCTGGACCTGTGAGTCCTGACAGACAGCAGTGGGAGATATCTGGATGGGCCAGGGGCTCCTCTCCCTTGCCCCAGCACGACTAATACCAGTTCTGAACCTGAAGCCTCCCAACACAGGCAGACGCATCCCAATCCCATAGATGAACATGGCGAATAGGAGAGTCCAGAGCTTCATGGCAGTCTCTGCTTTGTGTCTCTGTTGAGTTCCGGCAGGAAACTGGGTCCCAGTATTGCTAGAGGTGGAAAAGGGCTTGAGGAGAATAGAAGATAAAGGAGGGAAATGCTTGTGAATACTGCTTGTTATTCTTTCTCCTAATTTTCCTTATTTGTCCTCCAGAACCCACCAGTTCCTCAACTAGCCATGGACCACTCCAGGCATCTTCCCATCTCACATTTATAACTTTTTCTTTGGGAAATTATTTCTTTTAAGCTGTGTCACTTTCATTGTAATGAAAAGCAATAGCCCAGCCACCAGTGGCTGTAATCCTAGCTACTCAGGAGGCTGAGATCTGAGGATCATGGTTCAAAGCCAGCCTGAGCAGGAAAGTCTATGAGCTAATCTCCAACCAACCGCCAAAAACTTGAAGCAGCGGGCACCGGTGGCTCATGCCTGTAATCCTAGCTACTCAGGAGGTTGGGATCTGAGGATTAAGGTTCAAAGCCAGCCTGGGCAGGAAAGTCCGTGAAACTCTTATCTCCAATAAACCACCAGAAAACCGGAAGTGGCACTGTAGCTCAAGTGGTAGAGTGCTAGCCTCGAGCTGAAGACCTGAGGACAGCATTCAGGCCCAGAGTTCAAGCCCCACGACCAATTTTTTTTTTAAAAAATGAAGCAGACTGTGGCTCAAGTGATAAAGCATTAGCCTTGGGCAGGGCGGGGAGCTCAATGACAGTTCTTAAACCCTGAGTTCCAAGCCCCAGGACGGGCACCAAAAACAGATAAAAAAATAAGTTTTAGAAGCATAAATCATTAGATATGTTCATTTTGAGGCCTATTAAATTATCTGAGAGAAGCTGGTTGATGGTGGCTCACACCTGTAATCCTAGCTGTTCAGGAGGCTGAGATTTGAGAATCACGGTTTGAAGCCAACCTGGGCAACAAAGTCTGGAAGACTCTTATCTCCAATTAACTATCAAAAAGCCAAAGAGGATTCATGGAGCTATGGCTTAAGTAGAAGAGCACTCATCTTGAGTGAAAAAGCTCAGGGATAGTACCCAGGACCTGAGTTCAAGTCTAGTACAGGCACGTGCACACACCTCCTCCCACCCCCCACCGCCCCCAGCCACACACACATGAAAAAAATCCCAGTAAAGAAAAACAACATCATGTTCAAGATACTTCTCACATCATTCTCAGAGTATCCTCACACTCAGAGTTCTGAGTGAATTCTTTTGGTCATCTATGAAAAAGTATAGGCCAGTTAAAAGGCCCTCAGTCATCAGAAAGACATCAAATTACTATATCCACCCCCAAACTTAAGACTGTGAGTTTTTTCCATATTGCATTAAAGAAGAAAAAAATAGAAGCTAGTGATAGAGCCAGGGATGCTGCTATGTTGTTTCATCTGTCTTCATTTACCTTTGGGACCTCAGACAGGTCATGCATGTCTCCCTCAGTTTTCTTAATGAATAATATATTCCCATATCCTAAGCCGGGCACTGGTGGCTCACGCCTGTAATCCTAGCTACTCAGAAGGCTGGGATCTGAAGCTCAGGGTTCAAAGCCAGCCTGGGCAGGAAAGTCTGTGAGATTCTTATCTCCAATAAACCACCAGAAAACCAGAAGTGATGCTGTGGCTCAAGTGGTAGAGCACTAGCCTCAAGCTGAAGAGCTGAGGGACAGCGCCCAGGCCCAGAGTTCAAGCCCCACGACCAAGAACAACAACAACAAAAATTCCCATATCCTAGAAATGGCTGATGGCTTCCAGGCACATCTGAACAAGCCACAAATAAAAGCTCACATCTAAAGACCCTTACTTCACCTACCTCCGAAAGTGGCAGTGGTAGCTGGCTGACAGCTCTTTTGTCTACCCTATTATTACTAGGTTTTGAGTGGGGGCCTGGAACAGGACACAGACAAACAGGAAATCAAGGTCAAAGGCCTAGAACCTTGGGTGATTTGGGTTGTGGTAGATCTTTAAGTTCCACACAGGAACTACACGTGGGCCATATGACAAACGATTTCTCTTGAAGCCCATCCAAAAGCACTAGATTTTCTGATATGGGTAGTACCTCCTGATAAACTTGGAAGAACACGATGGACCTGGGTTACAGCATTTGCTACCCACTGCATACCCAAGTCACATGACCCCCAAATTTCCCACAGGCAGGGAGTCAAGACATACTCTGGACATCTTCTCGGTGTTGATTGTCCTTTGCCAATAACAGCGCAACACTACCTCTCACCCAATACCTTCCAGTTTTATGGAGATAGAGATTAGATAACCTTAGAAAACCCTTTAGAAAAGCTGATGACCATCCTAGTGAAGGAAATGAAATGATCAGATCGAAGAACACCAAGATCTTGACGTGGGCTTGTTCTTTGAAGTGTAGAGAGAACAGTTTATTTTGCCTAACACTTCTGGTTGACCTCATTACGCTGAGTGACAATACATCATGGATGAGAGCTTGCTGCAGAGCAAACCACTCAATTCACAGCCATGGGGGGAGAGAAAGAGAGAGAGAGAGAGTCCCACTAAACTTTTTGAGGGCATCTCCTCAGTGACTTAAATCTACCACTGGACTCATCACTTTAAAGTGCACCATTAAGCCGGGCGCATGTGGCTCATACCTGTACTCCTAGCTACTCAGGAGACTGAGATCTGAGGATCATGGTTCAAAGCCAGCCCAGGCAGGAAAGTCCGTGAGACTCTTATCTCCAATTACCAGAAAACTGGAAGTGGCGCTGTAGCTCAAGGGGTAGACCACTAGCTTTGAGCCAAAAAGCTCAGGGACAGCACCCAGGCCCAGAGTTCAAGCCCCATCACCAAAAAAATAAATAAATAAAACGTCCACCACTATTCCTAGCATCACAGGCCATTAAAACATAGGCCACTGAAGGGGCATTCCACAACCTAATTTATACCATATGTGTTTGTATGATATACATAGAGTATCACACATATACACCAAACGTTAAGGACAATATTTATGGTTTATAGGTACTTTTTTGTACATTTTCATGGGTTTCATTGTGACATTTCAGACATGTATTCAATGTATTCTCATTGTATTTATCCCCATTACCATCTCTCTCTTTATCTCTCTCTCTCTCTCTCTCTCTCACACACACACACACACACACACACACACACACACACACACACAGGTCCTTTTGTCCTTTTGTTTAAAAAATGGATTCTTTATGTAAGAAAAAGTTTGATATTTTTCTTTCTGAATCTGGCTTATCACTTAGCACAATGATCTCCAGATCCATTCATTTTCCTAAAATGATGCATTTTCATCCATTTTGGCTGAGTAAAACTCTGCTATGTCTATATGCCATGTTTTCTTTATCCATTATCTGTTCATAGACAAACACCTAATCTATTGTGTTTCCCATATACTTTATAGACAAATTTATATCCTATTGTGAGTGCACTTTCATTTTGATTGCGATTATGAAGTGAGATCAGGCAACAGATTTTCTCCTGTGGAATCATGCTGGCACTCAAAAAAAGTGTTTTGGACTTTGGAATTCAGATTTTTGGATTAGGGATGCTCAACCTGTACTTACATATGTATCTATTTAATATATGCTTGCATGTTCTTATATATTTATACTTGATACATTTAGCCACCTTTACTACCTTTTACTTTAGTCTAAAAGAGTGAAAATGTATGAATAGAATTCAATGTATATTGAATAATATTCAACTGTCATCATCATTGTCATAATAGTTTTAATTGGCAATCTGTCATAATATTTAATGAATATTCCTACAAAAGTAGGAAAATTGAGGGGATGGGTGGGGTTGGAAGGGATGGGAGAGAATGGTGAGAGGAATGATACTGATCAAGATGCATTGTTCTTATACACTGACAAGTTGGATTGTAATTCCTTTATACAACAACTCAAAGATAATAATAATATAATTTTTGAACATGCTAACCGGGTGCTGGTGGCTCACCGCTGTAATCCTAGCTACTCAGGAGGCTGAGATCTGAATATTGTAGTTCAAAGCCATCCCAGACAAGAAAGGTCATGAGACTCTTATCTCCAATTAACCACTAGAAAACCAGATATAGTGACCAAAAACCACAAGCGGCTCCATGACTCAAAGTGATAAAGCACTAGCCTTGAGTGAAATAGATCAGGGACAGTGCCCAGGCCCTGAGTTCAAGGCCTACCAACCAGCAAAAAAGAAAAGAAAAAGAAAATGCTCAATATGACATCTTGTAGGATACTGACAGTATTTATAGTTTACCCAAGAATGATGCAGTTATAGAAACCCATCTTTGTATGCCAGGCGCTGGTGGCTCACACCTGTAATCCTAGCTACTCAGGAGGCTGAGATCTGAGGATCGCGGTTCAAAGCCAGCCCGGGCAGGAGAAACCATGAGGCTCCTATCTCCAATAAACCACCAGAAAACCGGAAGTGGCGCTGTAGCTCAAGTGGTAGAGCGCTCGCTTTGAGCTGAAGAGCTGAGGGACAGCTCCCAGGCCCAGAGTTCAAGCCCCACGACTGACAAAAAAAAAAAAAGAAACCCATCTTTGTGAAATACTCCCATGATTAAATAAGACTGACAGAAAGTGGGTAACAAAAATGACTGACAGAAAAAAATGAGATAGTTGTATTAGACAGATGGAGAAACTAAACACGATACAATGAAATCTGGGTCAATTATCAGTAGTGAGGTATTTCAAATTACATATTTGCATTTTTCTAGGAAAGGCTTTGAGATTGGAGCAGGAAGACAAATTTCTTAAGAGAAATTCTGTGAGCGAGAAGAGAGGGTTGGTTTTATGAGAGCAGGTGACGTCCCTGAAGAGGGCCAATTCCACACCAGTGAAGGGCAGGCAAAGGGCAGGAAACACAGAGGCTCTTCTTGTTCTTCTAGGCTTGGCCAGCAAGGGCAGCAAAGAGCAAGAGGACAGTCTCCTTCGTTCTTTCCCTCTCAACACCCAGCTCTTCAGGAAAGTCTTTGCCATCCTTCCCAGACCTAGACTCATGGCTGTAGTCAGAGTCATGCGACCTAGGGCTGTGTTGTCGCCCATGCTGCTCCTCTGGGTGTTGCTGTGGCTGCCTCAGACTCACGGAGGGCCCCGTAGTCGGAGGAGGATTGAGGGTAGGTGATGGCTGGATGGGTGGAAGGGGAGGTGGCTGGGAGGGGCTGAATCCAGACTAAGGAGAACCTGGGTTCTGATGCCTTTGTGCAAACTCAGCATGTCCCACAACACTGTTCAGAGACCCAAAATGAAGGGTGACACGCTGTGGTGAGAGGTGGATGGAGCAGGGCTGATGGGAAAGAAGACAACTGTCCTCTGGTTTATGAACAGCCACAGAGGCTCCCAGGGCAGACACAGGCGTAGAAATGCTGTGGGTGTGGGAAGGGGCACTGGGCAGGAAAAGGATGACATAGGGAGGCAAGTTGATGCCATCACGGCGGGGCGCAGGAGGGTGTGGGAGGGAGCGCGCTGAGCAGGCACACGGAGGCCAGGCCAGTGGGGAGAGCAGACAGGACCATGCTGAGTCCATCTTCCCCTCGCACCCCACAGGTCAGGAAGGTGGAATGGGGGAGGGATGATGGGGGGAGGGAGGCATCTCAGGGTGCTCTGAGCTCTCAGGCTGTGAGTATAGAGTGCGCAGGGTGCTTTCACCAGGCCTTGTCTACGAGGGAAGACAGGTCCTGGGTACAGGGGTGTGGACAGGGTCCAGGAAGGGCAGCAGGGCTCATTGGGACCTAAACACCACCCATGCCAAGGGTTTGGCCAGGGGCCCAGAAGAATCCTCTGGGGGTGGTGGGGTGCTGTGAGTGGACCTGCATCCTGGGGGCTGGGGCAGCATCAGAGGAAGGAGGACGCTGTCCAGGCAGAGGGCCCCATGCCCCAACTCCCACCCCTTCTCAGAAACCCAGACAACCGGCTCAGAAACCCAGGAGCCTTCCTCAGGAATCCAGAGGTGTGAGAAGCGCACCAGCATCTATCTGTGCAAATACCCCTGTGAAGTCCAAGAAGACTGTGAGGCAAGCCACGTGTGCTGTTCCACCTTCTGTGGGAACGTGTGCATCAACACCCTGTGAGGGGCCGGGGCTGAGCTTCCTGGGACTCCCGGTTCCCCATTCCAAGGTGAATGTGCCCCCAACCCACCCACAGCGGAAGCAGGAAGACGTCCACTGCAGGGCCCACCACATCACCAGGACAGCCGCCCTCTCTCTGTGGAAACCCTGTGTTCCTGCCCAATAAACCAGAATGAAATGCCCGGGGATGCGGCCTGTGTGAGTCCCACTGCTTGTGATCAAAAGACCCACGCAGCTCCCCACTGGCCCCCACTCCTCAGCCTGCTCTCCCCTCCCTTCCTCCCTCCCTCCCTCCCCCTTCCCCCTCCCCCTCCCCCTCTTTCCCCCTCCAGATTTTTCTGCTTTCTCCCTTTGGTCCATGAACCCATGGGCCCCCAGGAGGCTCCATTCTCTGGCTCTGCTCTCTGAACCAGCTCTCCCTGGGGAAACTGGCCCTAACAGCAGGGCACAAAGCTCAGGAGAACGTTGCTCAGCCTGGGCTCAGAAGGACCCAGCCAAGCATGAGAGTGGTGAGGGTAGATCCTGCAGCACAGGGTGGAAGGCCCCCTAGGGCTGTCCCTGCCCCACCTCCCTGCACTTGGCCCTGGTCCTCAGTACTCTATTCTCCCACATGTGCTCCGGAGCTTCTGATTGGTTCCAAGGAGGATCAGGAACCCATGGAAGTCCAGAGATGCTCTAAAGGCCACAAGCAAGGGAAGCAGTCTGGAGTGCCCGGGGGAGGAAGTTTCCTCACTGTGTCCATTGCCTGAGGCCTGGGGCCTGCTTGTGAGAGCCTGCCTGCACCTCCTCCTGTCCACCACCGCTCAGAGTGGCCACTCTGATGGTGGGGCCTGGGTTGGGAGTAGGCATTGGACTGCCCAGGGCCTTCCATGAGCTGAATGTCCCCTCTGTCCCCAACCCTCTAATGTTTTTTTGGATCCTGAGAATCACTAAACAGTGGAAAACTTGAGGTTTATGCTGGTGTTTCTAAAGTTCTGTGTACAGAGACTGACCCTCCCCACACAAAGCTGGTGCCATCCACCATTTAAATAATCCCTGTGTGCCAGGCTCTTCCCACATGAATGCATGAACCGTAGAGCATGAACTCTCCAGGAGTGAATACATGAACTGTGGAGCATGAACTCTCCTGGAAGAGTTGCTCTGCTGCCTTGTAATAAGAACTATCATTCCAGTTCTCTCTGGACAGCTACCTCCCTCCCCCCTCCCCCCCCCAGGTAACTCAGAGGCTCTACACAGTATATGGCTTCCAGAAGAAATGCCCAACTGGTTGTAACTGAGTGCATGTCTTTCCTCTGCAAAAATGCAGCTCCTTTTTTCCTCTCCTAAAGGGATTTATGACTAATTCTTCTATTGCCCACCCTGTGCCCTGGCCTCTAAGTTGCAAATGAGAACTTAGAAACATGTAAGTCTACCGGCTGGAAAGGTGGCTCAGTGGTAGAGCACTTGCCTCGCATGCCCGAGGCCCTGGGTTCAATTCCTCAGCACCACATAAGCAGAAAAAAAAAAGCCAGAAGTGGCGCTGTGGCTCAAGTGGTAGTGCACTAGCCTTGAGCTGAAGAGCTGAGGGACAGGGCCCAGGCCCAGAGTTCAGGCCCCATGACCGACAAAAAAAAGAAAGAAAGATGTAAGTCCACCTAGATCATAGACCAAAGGGAAAGGTAGGTGTGTGTGTGTGCGTGCGTGTGTGCATGTGCAAGAGAGAGAGAGAGAGAGAGAGAGAGAGAGAGAGAGAGATCTGTGCCTTTTGGAGCAGCACAGAAAAGTGACTGAAATGTACAATACTATTTTCTGTCTGGCAGGGTTTACTAAACATGTATCCCCTGCTCTAATCAGATTTCACTGGAGAGGAAATGGGATAGATAAACAGTAGCACTTTAGCAGCCTGGAGTTTTGCCCTTTGCTAAGCCTCTCTTCTGTGTTTGCTCCAGGACTAAATCCACATTTATTATTTTTCCTGGAAGGAGTTTTCCGTGCACTTCGTGGCACAGAATCTCCAGGTTTCATTCAAGGAACTGTCTGTCTAGCAAACTAGCTCTTCAGGTTGCATTCTAGATTGACCCTAAACCATAGAACACAGAGTTCAAATCTCAGGACTGACAAAATCAAAAGAGCAGAGCTAGATGTATCACACTACTGGATATCAAAGTGTATTCCAACAGTATGCTAGCATAAAAACATGTATGTCAAGTAAGGAAAATGTTAGAGAACCCAGAAACAAACCCACATATTTATGATTAATTCACTTTCAGCAAAGGCATCAAGGCCTTACAAGGATGTAAAGAACAGTGTCTTCAATACATGACACTTGAAAAACTGAAAACCCACAGGCAGAAGAAAACCAGACCCTACCTCATCTTTTAGCCAAGAACCAATGCAAAGTAGATTTTCAGGAAATGTAAATATAAACATAAAACTCCTGGGAGAAAACCCAAGGAGAGTAGGTGCCGTGGCTCACACCTGTCATCCCACCTACACAAGAGTTAGACCGCCAGTCTGAAGCCAACCTGGGCTACACAGTGAGTCCTTATCTCAGAAAATAAAATGGACTGGGCTGGGAAGGTGGCTCAGTGGTAGAGTGTTTGCCTTGCATGCTTGAGGCCCCAGGTTCGATTCCTCAGCATAACATAAGCAGAAAAAGTGGGAAGTGGTGGCTGTGGCTCAAGTGGTAGGGTGCTTGCCTTGAGCTGAAGAGCTGAAGGACAGCGTCCAGGCCCAGAGTTCAAGCCCCACAACCGGCAAAGAAAGAAAAAAAGGAAAATGGACAAAGAACCTGAATTCTCAAAAGAAGACGTACATAGGGCCAACAGGTATATGAAAATGGTCAGTATCACTAATGATTGAGGTGACGCAAGTCATATTTATAACAAAATATCTCCCCATACCTGTTACCAAGATTATTATGAAAAGAACTGCAAGTGTTGCTAGGACTTGGAGAGGGCGAATGAACACTTGCACACGAATGGTAGCAATGTAAATTGGTAAATTCATCCAGTCATTATGGAAAACTATACGAAGTTTCCTTGGAAGACTAGAAATGGAATTACCATATTATCCAGCAATCCCACTTTGGGTATATATCCAAAGGAATTGAAAGCAGTATGTCAAAGAGAAACCTACATTTCTGTGTTTGTTGCATCATTATTCACAATAACCAAGACAAGCAAACAAACGTAGGTTGTTTGCATAAAGTGGATGGATTAAAAAATATACACAATGAAATACTATTCAACCTTGAATAAGAAGGAAATCCCATCATTTTCAACAGCTTGGAGGACATTATTCAAAATGAAATAAGCCAGGCACAGACAGACAAATATGATACGACCTCATTTATATACAGAATCTAAATATAGCCAAGCTCTGCTGGAAGTGTGGCTTAAGTAGTAGAGTACCTGCCTGGCAAGCTCAAGGAGTTCAATCTCCAGTACCACAAAAAAAAACCCTCAAAAACAACAGCAACAACAATAACAACAACAAAAGTCAGGCTCATATAAGTAGAGACTAGGATGATTGTTAGCAGAAGCTAGGTAGGGGTGTGAGAAGGGAATCAAAAATGTTGATCAATGGGCTGGGAAGGTGGCTCAGTGATAGAGTGCTTGCCTTGCATGCATGAGGCCCTGGTTTCGATTCCTCAGCACCATATAAAGCAGAAGGGAAAAAAAAGCTGGAAGTGGCACTGTGGCTTGAAGAGCTGAGAGACAGTGCCCAGGCTTAGAGTTCAGGCCCCATGACCAGACCAAAAAAAATACAAAATGTTGTTTAAAAATATAATAGCTGAGCACCAGTGGCTCATGTCTGTCATCCTAGCTACCGAGGAGGCTGAGATCTGAGGATCAAGGTTCAAAGCCAGCCCATGCAGGAAAGTCCATGAGTCTCTTATCTCTAATAAACCACCAGAAAACTGGTCATGGTGCTATGGCTCAAGTGGTAGAGTGTTAGCCTTGAGCTGAAGAGCTGAGGGACAGTGCTCAGGCCCAGAGTTCAAGCCCCATGACTGACAGAAAAGAAAAGATTCCCGTACTCCAGCTCACTTCTTTTTTTTTCTTCTTTTTCTTTTTTTTTTGTCATGGGGTTTGAACTCAGAGCTTAGGCACTGTCCCTGAGCTTTTTATACTCAAAGCTAGTGCTGTACCACTTTGAGCCACAGCACCATTTCCAGTTTTCTGGTGGTTATTTGGAGATAAGAGTCTCTTGGATTTTCCCTCCTAGGCTGGCTTTGAACTGGGATCCTCACATCTTAGTCTCTTGAGTCACTAGGATTACAGGGATGAGCCACCAGTGCCCAGCTTCACTGAATTCTTATAGTGCCCCATGGAATGAAGCCTATTATTGTTGCCATGTTGCATTATTATTATTGCTGCATTTCAGAGAGGTGAAATGACTTAACCAAAAATCACACAGCAAGTCAGATTTCAAATCTGTACCTGAAGATCCTGATGCCTGTAATTATGGTACCACACTTCTATCAGCTTCTAGGAAATATCTCACTAGCTCCTCACAAGAGGTCTCTGGAGAAAGTGCTGTATTATCCTTATTTTACAAATAGGTAGCTGAGGCACAGGAAAGATCCACGACTTGCCCAAAGAATGTGGGAACTAAGATTTACATCTAATATAAATCTGCTTTAAATATCCATTTTTATTGTAGCCTTTTCCAAGCCTCCTTGGACAAGATCTCTTGATTGGCATTGTCAGGATGATGCTAATAGTGGAGAAATTCATATAAAGGTGAATGGGACTTCACAAAGCTTACTATACAGAACACTACAGAAAAACAGATCCATGAATCTGCTCCTGACTCCCACGGTCTCTGTGACTTGGAAGCTAGGGAAGGAGAGGTCACACAGGTACATGCTGTTCTGTGTTTTGCCTGCAGTAAGAAAAATAAGACGCTCCTTTAAGAGGAACTTATGCACAATGTTCTGTATATGCCCCACTTATGACTTTGGACAGAACTCCCAGATTTGTCACAGCTGAAGCATGATTACAGGGTGAGTCACTGAA